AAAAAAAAAAAAAAAAATCAATCCCAAAGAACACTTAATTATCTGAACGCTTTTCAATCGTATTTCTACTGACTCCCTGAAATAAGTTTTCTATAATTCAATACTGTTGTTTAAAAAATACTTCCAAATTTCTATTGTTGCCTTCAAAGTAAGTTAGTTACTGTGCTGCCCAAGTTTATGGTCCTGGCGCTTTCTCTGAAATTGCCTTTGGAAGTATTTGCACTGGAATGGGTATAACCTTTAGAAATCAAGTTATGGAGAACCAAATATAGTACACAGTAGTTATATGGCCTAGTACTAGTTTTTTATTGAATCTAAACTGTCCTAAAAAAGGAATGATTTAGTGTTTATGTTGCTCAATCCTGAGTCCTTGTAAAAAGGGACCATAACAGAGTTTTGTGTTGCCTTGATCTTTTCAAAAAGAATTTTAAGTGGCAAGCATCCAAAATGCTTTGACAAATGAAAAAAAAAAAGTTTGAAGACAAAACGTATATTCTTATACTTTTACAAAAATAGTGCCTTTTAGTTTGTGTCCTCCAAAGCTTTAGATAAATATGGTCTATGATTTCCTGTAATGCAGTAAGTAGCTCCATGGTAGACTAACGCCTCTGTTTATTTTGCAGAAGTACAGTCCATCCTGCATCTCCTCCCCTGCTGTGTACCCGAGAAGATGCTGAAGTGGCAGAGTCTCCCCTTCGTATTCTGGCTGAAACCCCAGATGCCTTTGAAAAGCATATTAGAAGCATTTTGCAACGTAGTGCTACCAATCCAGCATTTTTGAAGTATGGGCTTTGGGGCATTTTGTTTCAAGAAGGGGCTCTTGTTTGGGGTTTTGTTGTTTGTTTTGAACTCGGGATCAACCTAGTTTCATGCTTGTTGTTACTGTTCACTCTTTCTGTCCTCTTGCTTTCATGGAGTTGGAAGAGACACGGGACATAGCTAATCAGTTAGTCAGAAGTGGCACCTGAGAAAGTGCTGAAAAGACGGGGGACAAAGCAACTGTGACTTCAGTCTGTTTTCAGTTGTTTTACTTGGTTGGCTAAGGAAAATAATGATAGAAACTGTTTTTAAGATCATCAGAAAAGGATTTGGCTCCTCCTCCCGAAGAGTGTCTTCAGCTTATCAGCAGAGCCACCCAGGTATTCCGGGAACAGTACATTCTTAAGCAGGACCTGGCCAAGGAGGAGATTCAGCGGAGGTATGACATCCTGCATTGAACAGCTGTTAGACCCTCACTAGTAATTGATGCTATATAATACTGTATAAGAAACCTGGCTTCTTTTAAAATGTTACTACTCTTTCGAAGGGTCAAATTATTATGTGACCAAAAAAGGAAACAACTAGAAGATCTCAGTTATTGTCGAGAGGAGAGGTAGGTGTTAAAACCAGAGAAGAAAACAGTGGGGAAAAGAGACTGCATCTCACTCGGGATGCTGTGCCACATTATATGGCTTCCACATCAAGGTGGACCCCAAGAGTTTTTTATTCCTCCAGGAAAAGTTTACGAGAAATGGCTGAGCGCTTAGCTGACAAATACGAGGAAGCCAAAGAAAAACAAGAAGACATTATGAACAGGTCAGTGGACCATGAAAACTTGTTTCCTCCTCAGGTATCAACAATGTTATTAAGTACTTGGGTACTGCCTTAACAGGCCTTAACTAAGTGTTGGAAGACCTATAGAGTTGAAAGGACCCCCCCCCACCCACCTATCCTCTGAAGTGCCTGTCAGGGATGACTTGGTACTGGTCCCTAACCCATGCTGTGAGGTGTCTCCTCAACAGCAGATTTTTGAATTACAAGCTTTATATGAGTATTTCTTCTGGTTAGCAATCTTAAGCTGTGATTCCTTCCTTTTCCAAAGGATGAAAAAAGTACTTCACAGTTTTCATACTCAACTCCCAGTTCTCTCTGATAGTGAGAGAGACATGAAGAAGGAATTACAGCTGATACCTGATCAACTTCGCCATTTAGGCAATGCCATCAAACAGGTAGGAATGGGCCAAGATGGCCAATTCATTTCTTTTTTTTATTGAATTTTTGTGTATTTCATACAGAACATCTTAATCAACTTTATATCCCTTCCCCATTGACACCTACCCATCCCCCATCCCCCCCCAAAACTGGAATTCACACATTCTGTCACTTAAGGCCTATCATGTCACATTGGTGTCCTCAGATAATCCTCAGTGCAAGTTCATCCACTAAAGTCTAGTCAGCCTATTTAGAGTCCCTCCCTTTAAGATCAGCTCTTCCTCAACCAGTAGTAATCAGCTACCAGTAATTCTTCAACAGTTCTGTGCTGGGTTTTTGTCTGCTTGAGTTTGCATGGGCCTTGTGCCTGCTGACACCACTGCCATAGGTTCATATGAGAAGGGTCCCAGGAGCCTGTAGGACTCTATTTGCATATGGTCATGCACCTCCTCCCTGGCTCTTAAAATCCCCCCTCCACTTCCACAATGGTCCCTTGCTAATTTTTACATAACTACTTACTGAATACAAAGTACTTTTATAAAATGTGAAAAGAGCACTAAAATAGGTATGGTAAAAATGTGTGGCCAGTTATAGCCAAAATATTTGTGTTCTGTTTGATACTTAAGGTTACTATGAAAAAAGACTATCAACAGCGCAAGATGGAAAAAGTCTTGAGTCCTCAGAAACCCACCATTACTCTCAGTGCCTACCAGCGAAAATGCATTCAGTCCATCCTGAAGGAAGAGTAAGTTGATACTTTCCAGTCATCTACATTTGTTAGACAGTTTTTCCTTGGCAGTAAAAAGCTTCCCCTCTGCCTGGATAAGAATCCCAAGTCTAAGTGTTTGCATGCACAATGGGAGCCACATAACGCAGAATTAAATGAATATGGTGGGATGGAAATAAATGGCTTTCCTATAATATGATTTTGTGTGTGGTTAAAAGTATTTTCCCATGAATATGGTTAGATGTGTTCTCTAGGGCTGTGGCTATAGCTCAGGGGCAGAGCATTTATCTAACATGTGATGCCTGGGGTTCAGTTGCGTGCGCACACACACGCATGCACAATAACATGCTATCCACCTGAAACCATTTTAAGCTGTTCAATTTTAGCAAAGCAGTTCTTCGGTCTATTTCAAGACTAATAGTTTAGGTTCTTAAGACTCAATACCAATGGCTTATTCATTCATTAAAAAAACTGAGTCATCTTATGATTTTGCAGGGGTGAACACATAAGGGAAATGGTGAAGCAAATCAATGACATCCGAAACCATGTAAACTTCTGATACCACCAGGAACAGAATTCACACCTGAAGTTAACACAACTGAAGGCTTATAAACTGGTGTTGTAAAGCAAATGGCACGATCTAATTTATAAAGAAGCATTTTGGATAAACTTTGGTGTGGTTGTTCATCCTTTTGATACATGTTTTATAAAAAATAAATTTTTATTTAAACACTTTGACTGCCTTATTTGGTTATGTTCAGCAAAGTTTTAATTCTGAACACAGGCTTCAGCTGCACACTGCCAAGTCTCCATATTTGAACAAGAAATAAGCTGCAATTAAGTAGCAGCACCAATAATGTGCCTCTGAGGGGGAGCCAGAACCCTAGGATGCTAAGGAAAAGGCCACACAGTCGCTCAGCAGCAGCTCTTTTCATTCGAACATAAGGACATGCCTTCAGTACAGTTAACAAACTGTTATACCTGTAGTCTGCTCAGCATAGAGTTCAAGGTCCACACTTGCAAAGTCCTCTGTTGGCTTTCCACAGGCACTATTGCCTTTCAGAGCTGAGTTTGGCTGTGCTCTGTGTCTACTGAGTGGGTAGGAGGTGCAAGTTTTAGTACCTTGAAGGGAAAAATAACCTGATAATTCAATATATGGTTTTGTCTTCAGCTTTAGATCATCTTTTCATACCTACCAATATAAGTTCTGGAATGCAGCACAGTACCTCAGAAGGGACTGAGGGCCAATTAAAGGCCACATAGTATGGTATGTTACAGCTAAGAGATAAGCAGGTTAGACATGTAAGAAAACAGGTCTATATAGCCTGAATATAGTACAGTACCTATAAAATTCAACTGATTTTTCCTCTGACAGGAATAAACCCCACCTTCTAAATCAGATCTTATTTATGCATTAAAACAGTTTAAAGAATTGTTTCCTACCTAGTGCTGCAGTAGTCTTATTTCATACCAGAAACAGGCTGTTAAAACCTAGTGTTTCCATTTTGTGTTTTTCTAGGATGTGTTTCTCAATTGAGTGGATGGATTCCAAAAGTTTGCATTTGCTACAGTAAACACTCTAAGTAGTCTCCTAATTAGGATTCCTTTATTGCCCCAATCCCCAACTTCTGGAGAAAAATATCTGTTAAGATGCTCAGTCTCAGCAAAACAGTTCATTGGAGGTGATAGTCCAGAAACATGAATTACCCATTGTGATTGACAGTGAACAGAAACAAATCATCTTGGGGCCATCTGAGGACTAGTCTTAAATGTAATTTAATTATATTATGTAATTAATAAGATTCCTTTAACTCAATGAGGATATATTTCCTTTGAACCAAGTAGTACTATATACAATGGGACTTGAAACTAGTTAATGTTTCATGCATTCACAAACCTTTAGCACTATTTCCATAAATCATACCTTTAAATTCATAATCATGAATGTAAGACTACAAAAATAACCCATGGGATGAGGAAATGTAAGCCTTATTTGTTTTACGGACTGAAGTAGCAAAGATCTTTAGGGCAGATTCATAATGATTCATTTATAAAGAAGTCCACTTAAGATACTAATTGATGGTAGTTTTAAGTGAACCAAAAAGTCTAGTTAGTTCACTAATTCCCCATAAGGCTCTCTTGGGTACCAGCTGTTAGGCAACACCAATCACAAAAATTACTTGAAACAGTTTTTACTTTCAAATCACGTGTATAGGAAATTAAAAAGTATAGCTCACTGTCCACTGGCTGCTCTCTGGATAGTCTGCAGTAGGTCTGATTTCTGTGACAGCCTGCCCCCATAGTACTTTCTCCAGAGGAAAGGAATCTCAACTCTTGGAAAAGAACAAAGCACACTTCTACACTGATAACTAACTTGGTTTCCTCCAGTTTTGATGTAAGCATTGACACATTCTATGTCTGAATTATCACTGTGTCTGTGACACTTGGAAAACAAATAGTAGGCCAACTGATTCAGGCTGAAAATAAGCAGATTTATCCATGCATTCTAGATGTTAGACATAGCTTGTTTTATTAATGTTTTTCCACTGATCCAATGACTAAAACACTTAAAAGAGTATATGGTGCCAGTTCACCTTTACCCTGGTACCTGCCAGCTCAGGAAGATCATCCAGGTGTGGAGAAAAGTGCTTCCAAACTTTGTGCTTTTCCTTTAAATTCAGCTTCCAAGATATATGGCCTCTGCCAAGTTCATGTTCTCCAAATTCTGTTTAGTTGCCTGTTTGCCACAGTCCTACTGTTCTCAGGCAAGTTTCAGTAGCATTTAAGGTCCTCCAATAGAAGATAAAAGTAGTAAAAAGAAAAGAAAATGCACTGAGCCAGGTAAAGACTGTCAGCAGCCAATGGCCTGCTCTCACACTTCATATTTTAATATAAAATACTCATACAGCACGCTACTCTGCTAGCTGAACACTGCTACTGATGAGCTCTAGACAACAGAAAAAGAAACCTCTCTTCACTACCTATGAACAGAAAACATAATTCCAAACACTATTAGGAAGTTGCTTTCATGTGGTAAGTATGTTCCAAAGTCTACGTTGGGAGAAAGCAGGCAAAGAAATAGCACTTCTCCCATCACCAGATCTGATCCCACAGCTGTTGGAATCAAGGCCGGCGTCCCATTAGTGCTCCCTTTGGAAAGGTCTGTTGGCTATTCCTGTGCTGCGCATTGCTCCCCCACTAGAAATGGGCATTTCTCCAGTCTTCCTTTTGTTGTGACTTCTTCTGTTAAGAGTTAAATAATAATTAATGTTGCTCTGAAGATGAGTTAAAAATCCAAAGTGCAGGCTAGAATCCTGCTATCAGGATGTCATGTCTCGGGGAGCTGGTTAATGTCTGTCAGTTTGGTGTCATTCAGAATTGCCCGGATTCTCTCCAGGGAGTCTGCTTGCCGGATCCGCTCTAACTGCACCTGGAGGAACAACGCTGAAGTAAGTGCAGGAAATGCACTGCCTACACACCCTCTACTGTGACTAGTTTAGTAGCAGATTAATGTATTCAAATAAGCACTTCAAAGAAAGAAGGGAAAAAATCATTACTTCAAATTAATCTCCCTTTGTAACAGATTGGTGCCCCAAGGTTATATTCTTAGTGTTTTGAGACAGGGTCTCAACTGCAGCCCCGGCTGGCCTCAAAGTCCCTATGGAGACCAGGCTAGCATTAATCTCACAGAGATTGGCCTGCCCCTGCCTCCTAAATGCTGGAATTAAAGGTGGGTGCCACCACACCTGGCAGGGTCTCCTTGTAGTCCCAAGCTGGCCTGGAACTCATGTATACCAGGCTAGCCTCATTCCCAAAGAGATCTGCCTACCTCTGCCTCCCTAGCCCTGGGATTAAAGGTTGTCTCACTATACACAGCCCAAGTTTATAAGTTTAAGAAGGCAAGATAAAGAGGAAAAGAGACAAGGGGACCAAGTCTGCAGAACAGATGACCAAGCTCCTGACTTGAGCAATTAAGCAGCAAGCACCATCACTAGACCTCGTACTCCTGCGTTCTCCCCCAGAGGACCACAGTGGTTCCCCTAAAATGCCTCACCTGAAGAGTCTGAGAAAGCTTTACAAAATCTCTCTGGACTTGTTCACTGACATCTAATTCTGTCTGTAATCGCTGAGCTTTGTTCTTTTCTTCAAACATCAGTTGTTCAATAGTAGCCTAAAAAATAAAAGTTTTGAGTGAAGATTAATGCCAAAGAGCCACAGTTCCTCTAAGAACTCTGGAGGTTAAGTTACCTACTACTAGAGCAGCTTTTAAGCTTTTTTTCCCCCTCACTTGTTTTGATTTGGGGGGACTGAACCCAGCGCCTTGTACACTCCACCACCAAGCAATATTCCCAACCCTTCCTACTCCTGAACCAAGACCTGGGTATCATACTTCCATAATAATCTAATTACATTTATATTCTATTCTTTTAGGTGTGGATGCACACATGCTACAGCTCATAAATGGAGAGCAGAGAACAAGTCGCAGGAATCAGTTCCCTCCTTCCACTGTGTGGGTCCCGGGGATCAAACTCAGGCCTTCAGGCTTGGTGGCAGGTGCCATTACCCACTAAGCGACCTCACCTTTATTATTTTAATACAGGGTCTCATGTAACTCAGGCTGCCCTCTGAACTTGCTGTGAGAAGGCCCTTGAATTGATCTTCCTGCCTCCATCACCCTAGTGCTGAGCTGTGCCACCACACCCAGCTTTATGTGGTGTTGGGATCAAACCCAGGGTCCCTGGCATGCTAGGCAACAATTCTAACCAACTCCACTTTATCCCCAGCCCCACTGTCTTTTTTTTTTTTTCTTTTCATTACATTTATTTATTGTATGTGGGGATGGGGGTAAATGTATATGGAGGTTAGAGAACAACCTGCAGAAATCAAACCCCTCCTTCCACCACGTGGTACCCAGGGATCAAACTCAGGTCATCAGGTTTGGGAGCAAGTGCCTTTACCTGTTGAGGCACCCACCCCCTCCCCATATACTCCCAATATCTCTTTCTATAGGGCAATAGTGTCAGTTGGGTAGGTTTCTGAAAGCCAAAATAACACATGTATTAAAATTACTTTGTCACTATCCCCAGCATCTGGTGACTTGTTAATGAAATGCACAGCTAGTATGATCAGTAGCTGTCACAACATGGATAGAAATCAGTGATTACCTCTGACAATCACAATAATCAAAACTAGAAAATTTTCAGTGCCATACAGCCCCAACTATCTCTGGCCTTCCTTACTGAACAGCATGGGAGTCTTTCTAAAAATAAGCACTACTGAACAACAACAGACAAATCTGAACACAGCTAATTAAGATCATGACTAGGCAACGTCTCCTATAATTAGCCACATGTACTTTTATTCTAATATACTCATTAAAATAATTGGTAAATCTGGTTCAATATTTAGGATTTGATACTTAGGTGAAATGAAGTGACATTTTCTTTTTTACTTATTTTTATTTTATGTGTATGAGTGTATTAACTGCATGTATGTAAGTATACCTGTGTTGTACAATTCCTGCAGAGGCCAGAAGAGGGCATCCAACCCCCTAGAACTGGAGTTACTTAAAATTGTTAGCCACCTCACCATGGGTGCTGGGAACCAAACCTGAGTCCTCTTCAAGAGCAGCCAGTGCTTTTAACTACTGAGCCATCTCTCCAGCCCCAATTCTGCTTTTTTCTAAACAGGTAAGACAGATCCTACATTCTCAACCTTGCTTTTTAAATGGAATGACCAAGAAATACAATCACCTTAGCAGCAGTCTCTTTCTTTAACTGCTCTTCTAAATTGACCTTTATTTCTTGGAGACTCTCAAGCTGTTGTGACTTCTCTCTTAATGTGGATTCCAACTGTGAAATCAAAGAAGGAAAAGCTGAAACTCAGTAACTCTTAGTAGACCACAGCACACTGTCTAGAGAAGTATGCAACCTATAGCATTGTGCCCAGTCTCAGGCTTTGCTCTTGGCTATGGCTGCAATGCTCTTCTCAAGCCAAAGTGTAGATTCCATTTGTTCTTCCAGACCTTGTCTTTCATTAACCATTTATTAGGCACTTACTATATTCTACTTCTAAAGTCTAGAGTTGGAGAAATGAGGAGAAACAGACATGTAAATAATTTGGCATGTCAACATAGACAAAGGAGCATTTAATTTCACCAGAAAAATTGGAAAAGTATTTCCTAGAAGAGATGATACTTGACTTCCTTTTGTTTTCAGTGTTGGGGACTGAGGCCATACCGTCCCATACAGGCTAGGGAAGCATGTTATCATTCAGTCACATCCCCAGCTCTTTTTGAGACAGGGTTTTGCTATGTTGCCCAGGTTGATTATGAACTTGCTCTATAGCCCTGGCAGACCTTGAATTTGTGATCCTCCTACCTCAGCCTCCTGAATCTTTAGTATTATGGGACTGTACTACCAGTTCAGAGGTACCTTAGGAAACAAGTTAGGCTGTTATGACAGGCCAGTGAGAAGTGAAGTCTAAGACCTGGGGACATAGTTCAGTGGTAGAGTACTTTTACATTTATTTTTTGTATGTGGGGCATGAGGCCCTAGGTTCAATACCCAAATCACCCCCCCCTCAAAAAAAGTAAATAAAAAGTCAAGTCTGAACCCAAACAATGACAGTGGAGGCAAGAATGAGACACAGCACTTTTCTTTTCTAGTGCTGGGCATGTAATCTACTACTGAGCCATATCCCCAGCTCCAAGTACTGGTCATCTTTATAGTATGATCTTTACAGAGATCTCCATAGCAGAGTGGAGAGAGGCCAACTAGTAGGTAAGAAGTTTTTGGGTCATCAGGTAGGGAGTGGCATTCTTTCAGGAACCTTGGAAAACTAATAACTTGAAAGAGAAATGTAAATCCAAAGGAAAAACTTTCTTCATTCTTTTCCTTTGAAAGGCAGTCTTCCTATGTACCCCAGACTGGCCTCAAACTCAGATCCTCAGCCTCTTGAGTGTTAGAATTACAGATGTGTGTCACCACACCTATCTTACTGTTTCCCTCTTAATGGGAGACACCTGGGCATGTTTGTGCATAAAGGGAAAGATAAATCAAGAGGTAAAATCTCAAAACAGGAGTGATTCAGTCAAGGCACCTACCAGTGTCATATTACGGCGAGGAACAGGCCATTACTTTATCTTAAGAAACAAAAAAAGGCTGTAATAAAGTAGGAGGGCCTGTGACTGAGGGAACCTGGGGCTACAGGTGGCCCTGTCTAATGACTGAGCAGTGAGGGAGTTGAGATGATAATGACTGAAAGAGCAGTAGCAAAGACTGGAAGAGATACATCTCAGGGCAAATGAGACTGCCTAAGAACACTGGGTGCCCACCTGACAGATTCTGGTGGCATCAGCTTCTTAGAACAACAGGAATAATCCAGAACTAGGCAGTAACTGAATGAGGGCAGCAAAAAGAGTCAGGGGACTTCAGAGTGTGGGTTGGAAGCCAGCTGAAGAGGCAAAGCCATGAGGAATTTCTGAACGTTCAGGGGATGGAAGGAGGTACTCAGGGAAAGATGACCTGTGGGAGTAAGAACTGGAAGGATGGAGATGGGTCCAAGAATGCCAGGCTGGAGCGACCTATCTGGCAAGGTATAGCCAGGGTGAGAAGCTGGGCAGCATGGAGGCAAAGTTGACTGAATCAAGGACAGTGATGCTGGGGAGCAGCATAGGCTCACTTGCCACCCTGCTGAAGCCAGCTAGGAGATACCATTCCTGTTTGCAAGTTTGTGTCCATGTTTCTAGTGTAGTCTTAAGCACGTGTCATGTAATGATCACACATGCCAGGCTGAGCGGAGCCTCATCGTCTCTACACGTCTGCTCATAATCACACGGTCCAACATGGCTAGGTTCTCAATAAATGTTCTCTATCATTACCCCAATTGTATTTGCACTAGGCAGTTTCTTCAAGGCCAAGACTATGTCTCTGCCATCTTTTATGCCGTTGTTCTTGCTCAGGATTCAATAAGTAACCACTGATTGCTGAAAGAATTAATTTTAAGCATGCAACTCACCTGTCCCTTTTCAACTTTTATTCTTTCTAATTCAGCTTTTAGACTAGAAATGGAAGCTAAGACAAAAGGAAGAAGTATTAGCATCATTTTTTATTTATCATTTTTTTCCTTAAAACATCCCCAAAGTATTCAAATATATAATAAATATGGAGGAAAGGGCTTTCTCAAAATTATCCCAAAGAACTGGCATTATAATCAAGTTTGGGTAAAGGCAGACTCTCTACATGGGCACGGTGTCATAAACTAACCCCCTTCCTCCCTCCCTCCCTCCCCTACCTTCTCAGTGTCTCACTGTATAGTTCTAGCTCACCTGGAACTTGCTATGTAGACCAGGCTAGTCCCAAACTCACGGACAGAGATTTGCCTGCATCTGCCTCCCTGAGTGGTGGGACTAAAGGCGTGGGTGGCTACACCCAGCATAAAATAAATCTCTCATCAAGTATCCACATCTAACTTTTGTCAGAGTGAAACAAAGCTCCTAGCTGTTAACAATTGAAGTTCTGTAAAGAAATACTTTCCTCCTGTTCCCAGTACCAGCTTCCTATATGTTAGTAATTGCCAAAGAAAGGCCAGCAAAGCTCATAAAAGGCCAATAAGAATTGTCGTTTTCATAATTATTCACTATCTTAACAGCAGGCAGGTCAGGCTAAGTTCTTTCCTATACTTTTTGTTTTCCACATCCATGAACATGTATTCTCACAGTCAGGAAGGTTTTATTTATTGACTCCAATTCTAAGCTGCATCACATTTTTAAGTTTTTGAGACAGGGTCACAAGTAGCCCAAGCTAGTCTTGAGTATCTGATCCTCCTACCCACAGGCAAACACTCTACCTACTAAGCTACATCCCAGCCCTAAACTACGTTATTTTTTCTTCACCTATTTCCTCCTTGCAGTTTTCTATTTCTAGTTGCAGAGTTTCTTCAAGGTTTTCTTTTAAACACTGTTCTGCTTGAATCTGCTCTTTTAGGAAAAGTATTTCAGCCTTCAGCTTCTCTTCAATGTGGTCTGCTGCTGTCCGCATGTGGATGATGTTCTCACGGTACTTTAACACCAACTCCCGGAGCACCTGGATTCAAGAAATGTATGGTTACTGATTTGTGAAGGTGAGAGGAAAATGAAGATTTCCTACATTCAGAATTTCAGGTATTTCAAAGGGTTCAAACGCTTAGACTTTCAATTTCAACAACTACGTGGTGCTTTAAAAGCACATACCTGACCATACTAACATTCAATACAGCCAGAAACCTGTATTGTAAACTATACCCCCCCACAAAGCTGTTTCACACAAGCAGAAAAATAGCAAGTAACTTTCAATATGGAATTCATTAGCTTCATGAAGACAGAAAAAAGAAAACCTCAGGAGCAAGTGTGAATTCCAAGAGGGTAAAATTTATTAATTTTTATTTTTAAAATGTTATGGGGGCTGGAGATTTGGCTCAGTGGTTAAGAGCACTGACTGTTCTTGCAAAGGACATAGGTTCGATTCCCAGCACTCACATGGCAGCTAACAACCATCTATAACTCTAGTTCTAGGGGAATCCAATGCCCTCTTCTGACCTCTATGGGCACTGCATGATGTGGGTGCACTTACATACACGCAGGCAATACACATAAAAATATTAAATTTAAAAAAGTTTATGTGTATGAGTGTTTTGCCACATGTGGTGCATCACATGAACGCAGTGCACACAGAGGTCAGAAGAGGGTGATGGATCCCCTGACTGAACTTATGAATGGTTGTTAGTTGCCATGTGGGTGCTGGGAATCAAACCTGGCTCCTCTCCAAGAGCAGCCAATGCTCTTAACCACTGAGTCATCTCTCCAGCTCCTAAAATTTATTTACTTATCTATTCATACATTCAAAACTTATTGAAAATCTGCTGTAGGTAAAGTACTGAAATGGCTTGCTAAGATGATCAGCTGATGAATTTCATATTCAAAGTTACTTGCTATTTTTCTGCTTGTGTGCAACAGCTTTGGGGGGTACGGTTTACAACATAGGTTTTTAGCTGTACTGAATGTTAATATGGTCAGGGATGTGCTTTTAAAGCACCACGAAGATCTTTTGTTTCCACCAAATTTCAATCTTTTAGAAAATCCTTAAGAACTAAGTAAAAACTAATATTCCCAAATAACTTAATTAATTTAAAAATTACTCTTAAAAAAAAAAAAAAAAAAAATCCGGGGTTTACCTATGTTGCCCAGGCTGGCCTGGAACTCCCTACACAGCCAACTTGGCTTCAAATTCATGAGCCTTTTGCCTCAGCCTTTTAGAGTGCTGGGACTGCAGACATGTACCACCATGTTCAGCTTGGATAACTTTTTAATATTTATTTTATTTGATGTGTATGAGTGTCTGCCTATGTATATGTATGAGCAGCATGTACAAGCCTACTACCCAAGGAGTTTGGAAGAAGGTCTTAGATACCCTGAAAATGGAATTACAGATAGTTGTTAGCCACCATGTAGGTGCTAGGAACTGAACCCAGGTCTACTCCAAGAGCAGCAAATGTTCCTAATCACTGAACTATCTCTCTAGTACCCTTAGGTAACTTTTGTTTGTTTGATTGGTCTTTTTGAGACAAGGTCTTCCTGTAGCCCCAGCTGGCCTGGAACTTGCTAATATAGACCAGGCTAGCCTCAATCGCACAAGAGATTTGCCTGCCTCTACCTCCTGAGTGCTGGGATTAAAGATGTGCACCACCACACCTGGCTTTACATAACTTTTAAAATCTAGGAACAGAAATTCTCTAGAGAACATGGAACAAAGAACTCTTTCCAGCCAAAAAAGGCAAGTTTTACTAAAGGTTGAAGGTTCTAGTAAAGTTAAAGCTTACGGCAAAAGCACACAGGTTCCTATACCTTCTTCAACAGTAACCAGTTAAGAAGGGAGGAAGTTTCCCTAAAGAGAACAAGGGCCCAAACGAGACCACAAGCTGTGGGAACTGGGGGCAGCACAAGACATGCAGCAAGATAAACAACTGGGTCTTTTAAAGTCATCAAAAAAATAACAGTAGGAATGCTAATTTGTACATAGGAAAAAACAGGTAGAACTTAAATCTGATAGGACTTAAGGGAAAGAGTAGAGGAAACTTCCAAAACTTTAAAAATTATTTTTATTTTATGTGTATGAGTTTATTGCCTGCATGTACATAGGTGCACCCATGTCATGCAATGCCTGCAGAGGTCAGAAAAGAGCATCAGATCCCCTGGAACTAGAGTTATGGATGGTTGTTAGCCATCATATGGGTGCTTAGACTCCTCTGCAAGAACAACCAGTGCTCTTAATCACTGAGCCATCTCTCCAGCCCCACAAAAAATAAATTTGTTACTTTTAAAGAAATATTTTATTATTTTTATTTTATGTGTATGAGTATATTGCCTACATGTATGTGAGTACAACCACGTCGTGCAATGCTGCAGAGGTCAGAAGAGGGCGTCGGATTCCACTGGAACTGGACTTAAGGATGGTTCGTAGCCACCATGTGGGTGCTGGGCATCAAACCCTGGTCCTCTGCAAGAGCAGTCAGTGCTCTTAACCACTGAGCCATCTCTCCAGCCCCTGATGTTACTTTTTTAAAACTTAGAGTCTCACTCTGTAGTACATGCTGGCCTGGAACTCAGCACTGGCAGGCCTCAAACATACAGCAATCCTCTTGCCTCAGCCTTCTTCAGTACTCGGATCACATGCATACGTCAGTAAACCCAACTCATATTTGATTTTTAAATAATTTCAAACAATTATAATTTTTCTTTACTACATTTTATTTGTGCACATGTAGGTGAATGGGTTACACATGTCCTGGCACACTTGTAGAACACAAGACAACTTCCATCATGTGAGTCCTAGGGACTCAAACTTGGAAGCAGTTGCCTTTACCCATTAGAGTCATTTCACCAGCCCCCGATTTTCTTTTAAAAAAAGAAGAGTCAGACATGGTAGTACATGCCTTTAATCTCAATGCTCAGGAGACAAAGGCAGGCAGATCTTGGTGAGATCTAGGCCAGCCTAGTCTACATAGTGAGTTCCAGGCCAGCTGGGGCCATAAGGGAAACTCTTGTCTCAACAACAAAAAACAAACGGAAAAAACCACCCCCGCACCTGTGGAAAAAGAAAAGAAGGAACCTCACAAATAAGATTTTCATGTTTTGAAAATTGTTCTTAAAAAAAAAAGAAAATTGTTCTAAGAAATTTCATCCTTGTCTATAAAATCATACGCTTGAGGAGGGGTTATAAGCCTAAAAAGATACTTTTTATACGTTGAAAGATTCAGAAATATACTGTTATAAAGTGTGGATGGATAAAGTTAAGAGGTAGGAATTTCTCAAGAAACTGGTTTTGTAGGTCAGATTCACCTAATTAGAGAATAATGTAAATAGCCCAAAATATCATCTTCACAGACAGAAAGAGGTAGGTGTGTCATATATACAAAAGTAAATACCACAAAGCGCTAACTTTGTGAGCCCTGAACATTTCATCTCTGGCACCCTCTAAGTCTGCTCCCCAGCCAACTCACAGACTCTGGGTTTGGCAAAGAATTCTCACACAAGCACAAGTAGTAGAAGAAAAAAAACAGATAAAATGGACTTCATCAAAATTAAACATTCTGTACTTCAAATAGTCCCACCAAGATTAAATAAGAAAGGCAATCTACAGATTGGGTGAAAATACCTGTAGACCATGTATCTGATATGGGATCTGTTTAGAATGCTTACAATTCAGTAAGACAATCCAATTTTAAAGATTTTATTTTTTTAATTATGTGTATGTGTCTATGTGGGGGTATTGCATGTGAATACAAGTACCCTCAGAGGGCAGAAGAGGGTGTTAGATCCCTGTAGGCATTTGTTAGCTGCCATGTGGGTGCTGGGAGTCAAACTTGGGTCCTCTAGAAGAGCTGGAAGTGCTCTTAACTGCTGAGCCATCTCTCCAGCCCAAATAATCCAGTTTTAAAATGAGCAAAGGGAGGATCTCTGTAAGATCGAGGCCAGCCTGGTCTACATAGTGAGCTCCAGGCTAGCCAGGGCTACAGGAAGACCCTGTCTCAAAAAAACAAAACAAAAAAGAACAAAAGATCTGAGTAACTGTTTCTCCACAGAACATAAATATAAATCACAAGTAAACACACAAAGCAAGGCTTAATACCACTGGCCATTAGGGGAACACAAGTGAAACCTCAATGAGATACCATTTCATCCCCATGAGGATGATTATAATACAGAAGTGAGATAACCAGTGCCAGCATGGATGCAGAGATGCTGAGCCCATATGCCCTGCTGGTAGGATGAGAAAACAGCACTGTGGTTTAGAGAACCGTGCAATGGCTCTTCTGGGGTAAAATGGTAGAAGAGAAGCTTCTTCCATTCAACTGAGTCAATGAGAAAAATAGGGGTAGAAATGACAGACTATATTCCAAAAAGGAAGAGGAAAAACACCACCAATCAAGAAAGAGGACAATGGGAAAGCGTGGAGAAACAGGAAGGCAAAGCAGAGAAAAAGAGTAGTCACAGCTCCCACCCCACTCCCTGGGGGAGGGAGAGGCAGCAAGAATTGGGTGCCCAAGAGATGGCTACTCTGCAAGAAGATACACATAAAACAGAAGACATATGCATCCTAACACATGTATGAACTGCAACTTAGAAACACAAGAAACAGGAAGAGTCATATAGCATGACTCTATAAAATTTCAGAGCTCTTCCCTAGTTGAATCCAAAGACGCCAAAATGGTAGAGGAAGAATTCAACATTCTAGTGTTTAAAATGATCAGTCTTCTCAGAGAGGATTCAGATAAACAAAGGAATGAAGTAAAGATGTCAATTCAAGCCCTGTCTGAATGAGAAGCTGAACAGTGAACAACCTAGACACTGGGTGAGAAAATTTAGAAGAGAGATCGAGTCTAGAAACAAACAAACAAACAAAAACAAAAAAAATTTTAAAGAAATTTTAGGGCT